TTTTTTTATCGTGTGTGCGTGAGCGCGTGTGCACGACGTGTGTGCGTGAGCGCGTGTGTGCTTGAGCGCGTGTGTGCGTGATTGCGTGTGTGCGACATGTGTGCGTGAGCGCGTGTATGCGACGTGTGTGCGTGAGCGCGTGTGTGCGACATGTGTGCGTGAGCGCGTGTGTGCGGCGTGTATGCGTGAGCGCGTGTGTGCGACGTGGGTGCGTGAGCGCGTATATGCGACGTGTGTGTGTGTGACGTGTGTGCGTGAACGCGTGTGTGCGACATGTATGCGTGTGTGCGTGAGCGCATGTGTGTGCGTGAACGCGTGTGTGCGACGTGTGTGTGTGCGACGTGTGTGCGATGTGTGTGCGTGAGCGCGTGTGTGTGACGTGTGTGCGTGAGCGCGTGTGTGCGTGAGCGCGTATGTGCGGCGTGTATGCGTGAGCGCGTGTGTGCGTGAGCGCATGTGTGTGACGTGTGTGCGTGAGCGCGTATGTGCGACGTGTGTGCGTGAGCGCGTGTGTGCGTGAGCGCATGTGTGTGACGTGTGTGCGTGAGCGCGTGTGTGCATGAGCGCGTGTGTGCGTGAGCGCGTGTGTGCGTGAGCGCGTGTGTGAGTGAGCGCGTGGGTGCGTGTGTGTGACGTGTGTGCGTGAGCGCGTGTGCGCGGCGTGTGTGCATGAGCGCATGTGTGTCATGTGTGTGACGTGTGTGCGTGATCGCGTGTGTGCGTGAGCGCGTATGTGCGGCGTGTGTGCATGAGCGCGTTTGTGCGACGTGAACGTCAATCACGCAAAGCGCGCAGCGAAAACTTAAAATGGATGTATAAATTAGTTTTTGAACGTTAGAATTAACAAGTCTTAGCTCACACATTTTTTTTTTCACACTTTTTTTTTGGGGGTGGGGGAAAGAATAGGTCAAAGAATTCTATCACACCCAAGGTGAGCTATAGTGTCATTGACAGTTTTATTTAACTTTATCGCCATGACCATACCATGACCTTATCCTAAACACATAGAATGCATATATGCCTGGCCACACGGCTGTGTGTGCTGGTTTTGGTTTTATGATCTCCCTTCTTGTTCGAAGGCCAACAGATCGGTGTACTTTTCTTTACAGAAGGGCATCAAACGTTAGCAAGAGTGCATCGTAGAAATATACACGTAATGTTTTTTATAGCAACGTGTTAAACGAATATGCTGAGAACTCATGAATAGGGGAAGGAATAGGAATTTATAGGATGATACCGGGAAAGTCGATGACATAATTATTACAGTAGTTACTGAATTGACTATCGCTAGATGGCGGTAGTAACGCTGTCCGTGTCCGTCCATCAGCAAAGCAGACTTGACATCATTCATAGAACGTATTAGACGAAGAATGAATATATTAGTCTATGTCATATATATATCATAATGTGGACATGTAAACGGATTGCCAGGTATAATCATTGATACATTATAATAATGTGTATGCGAAATGATTGTGTTAAACCTGACCATAGCCTAATCATTCTTAGTTAAACTTACGCAGTGGCTGGAGGTACGCCAGCCGTATCTTAATGTCTCGAGGCTACGGGTACGCCAGTCCATTCGCTTTCATACTTAACGAGACAAAGATGGCGGCGGTCGCGCCAGATTTCGAAATAACGCCTTGGGAAATAAATTCACGATTTGAGAGTTTAGATGAGCAAGAACCCTAACCATAACCCTAAACCTAACCCTAACCCTAATCCTAACCCTAACCCTAACCCTAACCCTAACGCAAAAAAGGGGCTTGAACGACCGACGGCTGGCGTACCTCCAGCCACTGCGATTAATATAATG